AAATATAAAATATACATTGTCACCTTTGGCACGTAGCCGAAAGGTGTGGATTTTCCAACGACGTAACACCATCATTTTTAGTGTCGAAATACTACCCTTTAATAATATTTTCCTTCCTATCTTCTCACTTCTGTCCTCATTTTCTTTTTTACTGTTTCCATTTATATGCTCTTTTAATCGCTTGGACATTAAGAAATTAATTACCGATTTCAACGAAATGAAAAAATGAAAAAATATGAACTAGAACGATGTAAGTACTTACTTACATATATACGACTGTTATTTCGTCTACTATCGATCGATTCATGCTGTCAAAGTAACGCGACGCGTTCGATTAAAAGGAAGCCGAGATAACAACACTCGACAAGAGTTCCGCGATCGAAACGCAAGCATTTTAATTTAGATACGCTTGCCTTTTCCGAGCCGCAACGCGATGACTCGTATTCGATTTACCGAATTATCGATCCATTTCTGTCGAGTAATAATCGAAATCTTTCATAAACGGAACGAAATTCAGTTAAGTTTGAACGCTAGATATAATTTAGAACAACTGATACTCTGCTTTCTTTTTCTCTTTACCGTTTACATGGCTTCTTAAAGCCGTGTAACCGGGTTCTTAGAAATTGTTTCCTCTTCCTCGAGAACTTATCGATACTATTCTATCTCTTACATCTTTGTATCTTTTCTACTCGTGATAAAGTAGATTCGCTACTTTGAAACTCGATTGATGAATAATCGCGAAATTAGAACTGATTGGGTGAAGCTTTCTTATGCGCGAATCACTGTAAATGTGTATATAGAGGCAAGCAATGAAACAGTGGGATATGGAGTGGGGGAGAGGAGACAAAAAAGAAAGAGAGGGGAATAGAGAGAGAAGTACGAAAAAGGTTTACTTGTAGAGCATAGGATCGGGTCGAAGAACACGGGGGTGGGCAGCCAGCTGATTCGGGCGAGTTCGTGAACGACCGTAATCGAAGCGCGAGGAAACGAAAGAGGCGAGGTAGCGCAGCAGCGCACGTCCGATGCAGTCTGCCGCGACCACCGGGAAACCAGCTGACTGGTCGGTTCGGTCACGTTCGCTAGGTCGTTCGGCAGTCTTCGGATCTTTGTTCGTCTCTGTGCACGAGGCTACCGGCAAGCGACAAACCTTTCCGTCAGTCGCCGTTTCGACACTGTTGAAGAATTGTACGTACGCGCAAGTTTCTCACCTCTTCGACAAAAATCGACATTTTACGTTTACGTGGTTCGAATTGCATGATTACTCATCTCATCGTTGTGTCAATCAACCGATCCCACTGATTATTCGTTGACTAAAGGAACAAGTAAGAAGGAAAGGACGCGATTAGCGTCGTCGCGCTGTCTGCTTGTTACCGGTAGTTCGCTTCCATCTCTGAGCACCCCGCTTATTCCTCCCCATCTTACACTCACTAGATATCCCCTTTTTTCTCGTTTATTCTCTATCTCTATTTTTCTCTTTTTCTCCATTTCCTTGTATAAAAACGGCTACCAGGCCTCTGTTTGTCCAATTCATTTTCTGCTTCTTGCTTTTTTTTTACAACTTTCCTCGCTCGCGTCACTGTCACGTAATTCAGAAAAGACGCGAAAGAAATCGAATTGTCGATGAGTATACGAATTTGTAGAATGAAAACGATCCATTATGTGCTTTTATTTTTGCTCATTCTTAGTCGGGACAACGCAATGTTATATTTGAAGTGAGAAATGATTGTGTTTTAAGTAAGAGAAAGCAAAGAAAAAGACAAAATAGGAAGATAAAAGAAGAAAGAGGAAGAAAGAAACGAAAGAAAGAAGAGAAAATGATTGCAAGTGAAGCGCTATGAAATCCGATCTGTCGATAGGTCGGTATTTCCAAGCGGAAAGAACATGGTGGTATCGCGAAACGCATAGTTATTTCTCATGATATAAATTGATAATTATAATAATAAATAATATTGATAATTTATCGTTAAAATGCTCGCTTTCAATTGGTTAGATCGGAAATTAAGATTTTTGAATTCACAGGACAATCCCATGTTAAAGTCGAATCGTTATGGATCGAAATTTGTTGGGTGGTAAGTGGAAATGCTACGTGACCGGTCGGTAGTGTACGAAACTAAATCTTCGAAAACTTTCGGTCGTGCAACCGGTTTCTCTTCGTATTGAAAAATATTCTTTTTCACACAAGTATTTTTTTTTGTTGAAATTTAAAATACATATATGTATGTATGCATTTACCGGTTATTTAGCGATAAATGCACAACCTTACTCCATCGGAACAATCGTTTATCGTTCGTGTCAGTCCGGTAGCGGTCGGAATAAAAGTCCAATATCGCACAAGACTGTCACGATGTGTTGATCTGAAATGACGTGATTTGATCGAGAATCCCGATTGAGATAAACGTAGAAAAATAAAAATCCTTTATTAGCATACTCAACTTATATGATTCAAAATAATGCAATTTAATCGAAAATTTCGAATTCTTAAAAATAAATATTGGAAAATAGAAATTTATTAGTTGATTTAATTTATATGATAAATCGAATTAAATCGAATCAAAGAAAGATAGAATAGATTTAAAGGATATTTGAATAATTATCATGATTTCAGAAAAAAAATGGTTCCTCAAGCTTTCAGACATCTCATTTATCTCACTAAAAAGAAACAGTTTTATGTAATTAATGTGAAATTTGTGTAATAATTTTGCGCAAATCGATAAGAATGGATTAAATCGAAGACAAAATCAATATTAAAATCATTGTCAGAGCCGGTGCCAGAATTCGACCGGAATATTGATCGTATTAGAATACGCGATACAAAAGCTGATTCGCCTGCAAAAGATTCGCAAGTAATCGAGATGAAAGATTGGATGACCTATGATTATTGATACACATACTTGATAAATTTACGATTATGCGAGACAACGCGACATGATATACTATTCGGTCGTTACGATTTATTTTATAGATATGATTGCTTTACTTATTTTATCTTTCCATCTATGCGTCTGTCTATCTATTTTCTCTTTCTCTCTAGTTCGGCTTCTTCGTCGACGATCATCAATTTCGACATCGATATTGGCACCGGCGTCGGCATCGTATCTCCATCCTCGTCGTCTCGTCGTCGTTGCTGCCGCTGCTACTGCTGTCGCTGCCATCGTTGATGGGATTTGGAAAGCCATTCTTCCAAATTCTTTTAGCCTATTGAAACGTTAATTTTTCGAATTACGGTGAGTAGGGTGGTATTGCATCTACGATACCTAGTCGAAAATAAATTGTCTCTTGATTTTTCCTTCACCAATAAAATTAGTCATAGTTTTTTTTTTGCAACCATTTGCTTTGCGATGGAACTAGATTGAACGTTTACTTTTGGATATTTCCTCTCGTTCCTGATATCTCTCGATAAGTCGTTCTTGCGATATGGAAAATCTCTTCCGTCATATTGTGTCGAACCTTCTCGATTCGAATAAGTTAATCTTCTTAATTTTGTTAATTGATGTCATTTCCAAGGATGCAACAAGGACAATAAATGATTTTTGAGATAAGTTTTATAAAGCTTTTGAAAACCTTGAAAAAAATGAAAAATCATTTTCAATTTGAATGTCATCCCGGACAGTTCGTCGAACAAGCCGGCTTCTTAATCTCTTTCCAACGTTTGGTAGGTCTCATCCGCCCACTCACGGTTTCTTTCTTTCGTCCCGTGTTTCGCTACTTCGTACTAATGTTGTTTCTCCTTTCACGGACTTCTACCGTTATACATTCTCGTATTATTGCCGTAATCATAATACGATGTGGCCCATTTGATTCATAGTCGTTTATTTTTCTATTATTCATAGAACTCTCTCTTTTCTTTTTTTCGTGAGATTCGCTTATTCGTCGACAGTTGTTCACGCATCCAATTATCGTTCGCAATCTGATTATTCAAATACTGTACAATATAAAAAATATATATATATTGGATTTTTTCAGTTTCAATTGGATTTATAGCTTTTAAGCGATAGAATAATTTCATGGAACAAAATTAAATAGTTTCGAATATATCATTTATACATTTGATTTGAAAATAAAAAACAAAATTTTAGTTATTATATATTTTTTTATATTTCAGTCAAAGCATTTTCATATTTCATAAAAGTATAAAGATAGTTGTATAAAAAATTTATTAAAATATATTTTAATTTTAATTTTTATTTTATATTTATTAACAAAAATATAAACACTAAATTTTAAAAATTAAAATATCTTTTAAACTAATCAATTTTTAATACAAATATTAATAAATTATTATTAAGAAAAAAAATGTATCGATTGATATATAATTGATATATAATGTGATTTTGAAATTTTGGAAATGCTTTCATTTTCAGATAAAAATCATTTAATTTTTTATTTTTACTTTATTTCATAATAAGAGTAATGGTTAAGCCTAGTTGCATAAATAGATATATTTCGATGTTCTTTACGTTAAAAAGAAATAAAATAATTCACGAATCCCAATTATTTCTAATATTCTGCGCACGCGATCTACTATGAGAGTAACACAAAAATTATTGGCACATAACGCGAATCTTCTCGCTTGTCATTCTTCTCTAATCACGGATGCGTACACTTCTGGTGTTACCCGTAAACCGGTTCCGCTTTAATTCTGATTACATCTTTGTTTCGATGTCTTTCAATTGCTATCGATTTTCCATTTACCGAAACACTTTTAATTTCATCGTTTCAAAGATTTATGGATTCATCATCCCCGCTCTACTTATATTACAAACAAATGCATTGTCAAATTGGCTAATCTTTGTATCAGTTTTCTTTCTCTTTTTTTCTCTTTCTCGTTTATTTCTTTCTTTCTTCTTTCCATATATTGGAAAAATGAATAGTAACATTTGATAAATGATTTGATAAATGAAACCAGAGGCAGTTTGATTTGCAGAAAACGAGAAACTTAATTATCGATTTATCTATGAGTCAGGCAATAGATCATTTAATGATATTCGAAATAATTTCAGAAAAGGAAGCAAACGTTTTTGTTCGCCCACTTGTCGGATTACGCGGTGTATAAGATCACAAACACCAGGAAGAGATACGGAGCACCCTTCCCGTGGGGCATTTGCCTGAGGCCGACCAGCACCGGCCAACTCAAAACCATCGAGTCTGGAGAAGCCGGACTCAAGGTCATCGCTTTCCACAGTGAAAAGTCTCGCGCCTGTTGGCTCACGGCCATGAGACTCGCCAAGGTAATCAAACATTCGATTCTTTTGCAACGTTATTTCTCTTTTCTTTTTTTTTTTTTTTTTTT